TTGAGATATGAAAAAAAAAATCATTGTTTAAGTGTGACAAACGCTTCAAAAAGGCAGGATAGGGACTCTAGGGACACCAACCAAGGGCACATAAGCTGACTGTGGTAAGATTGGGGGTGGGAGGGAGTTAGTTAGGGGCATGCCATCCAGGGGATGAGTCAATGAGGAGTAAGAGGTGACTGTCACAAGGAGAGTAAGGGGAAAAGAATGTTACAGGGACAGTAAGTGGACTGTCTGCAGGATACACTTGGAAAGTGTTCATCGTGCCTTCATGCAGCTCAGAAAGAGGTATGACTTGACCAAAGCCAGTCTAAGGTGCATAGGGCACAGCCACAGCAGGGTAGAGCCCTGGTCTCTTCATTCCTGCTCCACTCTCTGCAAATACACTTTGTCATTTAATCATCAGGAGTTCAAGCCTTTCCCTGAATCCCAGCCTGTGCAGACATGACAAATCGATCACAGCACTTGCTCCCACAGCGCTGGATAAGGTCTTGCTGTCCTTCCCACCCAGGGCTCTGGACAGCCACTACCAATCGATCAGATACAACCTATTTGCCCCCTTGGGTGCAATGCCTCTCATGGAGGGGTAAAGCCTGTGGTTCCCAGCACATGAATGAAGCTGGACATGATTTTTATTAAAGGCAACTAGTCCAAGTCTATATGCTTATTTGTCTTGGTTAAACAAAGTCTACTGCAGCTGTTTAGCTCAAAGATCTTTTCTCCTCGATTAGTAAAGTCCACAATTAATACCCACAGCCTTGGAAACCCTATGCAAGGTCGCTATGAGTTGGAACCGACTCCACAGCACATAACTACCACCACTACCCCCAGCGGCAGCTCTGCAATAGCCTCGATTGAATCTGCCAACCTGGAGGGAGGACTTGCTCTTCCCAAGGACCTCTTTTAATGAGCTCCAGTAAATTAAATCACCGAATTAGCATCAGGTTTTTAATGTGGTTGTACATCTCAGCCTAAAAGCCAATCCAGGGGAAAGCTATGTGCTTTCTAATAAGTGAGGCTGCCAGTCTCTGCCCCGGGCTATCGATGCACAGAGCTCTAGACTATGGTCGGAGGCAGGGAGACTGAGGTGTGGGCAAGTTCTGGGTTCCTCACAGCACTTACAGGAAGCCAGAAGACTGGGCTCACATGCAAGGGAATGTCAACTGACTGGACCAGCGTGAGAAAGAGTGCATTCAGAGACTTGGGCTGCAACAAGTGGGAGACAGGAGGGCAGTGGGGAGAGTCTGTCTCATTATTTAACAAGACAGCAGAGAAGATGACGTCTTCAGACACTGCGTGCAGCCAGGCACGGGCTGTTTGCTTGTTTGTGTTTGTTGAGTGAATGAGTCCCTGTACCTTTGGTGGGGCCCCCAACTTTTTCCTTCCACCCTAATCATTATTTGCTATTGTTAAGCAACTCTGGGTAGGGTTTCTGAGGCTGTAAATCTTTGTGGGAACAGAAAGCCCCATTTTTCTCTTGCCAATCACTTTGCTGTTAAGTGCCATTGAGTCGGTTTCAACTCAAAGCAACCCTGTATAGGATTTCCGAGAAGTGGCTGGTAGGTTTGAACCACTGACATCGCGGTTCAGACTGACCTCGTGGTCCAGTGCATTATCCTGCAGTGCCACACCAGGACTCCCTTTTTACAGACTGGCTAACTGTAGAGAATAGGAAAGTGGAAACAAATTTGGGTGAATCTAACTACTAGGCCTGTGTAAGGATTCGTGGGTCTAGCTGGAAGTCTCTCTCTCAGTTTCTTTTCTTTTCTGCAGGGGCTGAGGGGGGCGGGGAGGGTGATGGTGGTACTGGTTTACATTTTTAAAGACACTCAACTGATTGTTCCCAGATGAACAGTGGACTATGAAAGCTCTTTCAGAAACAATGGACTATGAAAGCTCTTTCTCCCACAGAGCTGGATAAGGTCTGGGGACTCTTTGTGATAGAAGGTCCAGATTTAGAGTTGAGGAATGGGTGCGAGGCATCTGAGACTAAGAGAGGGAAGAGAAGCCTCCAATGTGAGCCCCCCTCTCCCTACTCCTTTATGATTTCCTTTGCTGTAAATTCTTCTTCACTTTCTACTCCTTTCCATTTTTTGCATCGATATTCTTCCTATCTATCGATCATCTAACTATTAATATATCTTTCCTTCCACGTATTCTCCTTTTAAACAGAGATCTCCATCTAAATTAAGGCTTGTCCTTGGTTTTGCCTGCTTGTCACTAAAATTGGCAAACAAATGTTCAACTCCTGTATACACACAACATGTATCATCCCTTAGTGAATGTTTTGTTTTTTTTTTTTAAACTACTAATCTTCTTTTGGAGTCCTGGTATGGTGTTGTAGAATAAACACTGGACCAAAAGTTCGATCTGAACTGCAACGTCCTCAGAAACCCGATACAGAGTCACTATGAGTCAGTACCGACTCAGTGGCACTTATTAATAACAACCATCTTCTTTTGGAGTCCTGATGTGAGACTGTAGGATCAGCACTGGACTGCGAACCACAAGGCCAGTGATTCAAATCTACCAGCTGCTTCTTGGGAATCCTGTACAGGGTCACTTTGAGTAGGAATTGACTCGACAGCACTTATCAATCTTCTTTGGTTTGGATGGATTTGCCTATTTTAATGGGTAAGATTATGCACGTCATCATACACGTGGGATCCCACAATATTTGTTCTTTTGTGTCTGGCCTACTTTACTAAGTATATTTTCAAGGTTCATCCATGTGGTGGTATATATCAGAACTTCATCTCTCTTTATGACTGAATAATATTCAGTTGCACAGATGTACTCAGAGTCCTGGTGTGGCACTGTGAGTTAATGCGCTGGACTGTAAGGTCAGCAGTTCAAGTTTACCAGCCACTCCTTGGAGATCCTATACAGGGTCACTATGGGTTGGAACCGACTTGACAGCACTTAACAACAACATCAAATATATATATCACACTTTGTTCATAAGCACTTGGGTTGTTTCTACCTCCCCATTTACTTTTTAAGGTCAGGGTTGAAAATATCAGCTTCATGAGTCTTCACAGGGCTCGGTACTTACAAGAAGCCAGAAGACTAGGCTCACATGTAAGGGAAAGTTATCTGACTGGGCATGCATGCATTTGCCATGTATATTAAAGACTAACATTGTCTCAATCACTGATTCAGGGTTTCTAGAAAGTTCTGTAAGGCTGAAAGCATGTTCTCTACCTCCTCCTCTCTTTCTGTCTCTCTGATATCTCATTTACATCCCTGGTGTCAGCCCTGTCCTACCCCAGTGGCTTTCAGCCTTTTTAGCTCCATGTCTGACTCATATCCACTGCCTCTCCCACCTTCTCTGGGGTTTCCCAAGGCCCCTCAAACTTGCCACATCCAGGCCACTTACTGAAGGGGGAAGAGATGGCACAGAGAATACCTATGTAGAATGTTTTGCTGGCTAGAATTAGTGAAGTGACTGAATGATGAGTATATATTTTAAAATGCAGTTGAATTACCATCTGTTATGGATTGAATGGAGTCTTCCCAAAATACACGTTAGTAGTCTATCCCTCTCCCTGTGTATGTAATCTAGTATAATGTGATCACCTTCCAAAATGCAATGCAATGTAATGTAATCCATCAGTCAAAGTCATACCCAAGTAAGGTGGAGCCTAAACCTATTCCTGCATTTTATAAAGAGCATATTAGACACAGAGGAATTTGAGCACACACTAGGAAGATAGATGACATGTGAGAGTCATCAAGAACCAAGAACTGCCTGGTACCACCTACAAGGAAGGAATCTACATGGCCTAGACTTTTGGACTTTTGGCCTCCAGAACTGTGAGAAAATACATTTCTGTCCTCTAAGCCTCTCCCACTGTGTCATTTCTGTTACAGGAGCACAAAGGAACTAAGACATCGTGTAAGGCTCATTTGCAAATGTTTTGTTGCTTTTATTTAGTTTCCACAGTTTCCTTACTATCAAGAATCTCCTGTGAACCACTCCTTAATGAGGTTGAGAGCAGAAAGCAGCCATCAGCTCAGCCTCTGAAATTGTTAAATGAACAGACCCTAAGGCCTGAGCCACCAGCTGGGAAGAGACTGTTTTCATAAAGTACACCGGTGTGTGTGTGTGTGTGTGTGTGTGTGTGTGTGTGTGTGTGTGTGTGTCTGGTACTGAGCAGAACTCTCAGAAGTCCAAGATTTCTAAATCTGAACCTGACCCACAGGTCATCATGACAGCATCAAGGCAGGAGAACAGGACATATTTTATTTAACATTTTGCAGCTTGCCTGAACAATGAACAAACCTGTTTTGGAAGAAGTCAGAATGCTTCTTAGAAACAGGGATGGAGAGACTTTGTATCATGTACTTTGGACACGTTATCAGGTGGGGCCAGTCCCTGGAGAAGGACATCATGCTTGGTAAAATGGAGGGTCAGTGAAACAGTGGAAGATGCTCACCCAGTGGAATAAGACAATGGTTGCAGCTCGGGCATGGGACTGGGCAGTGTTTCATTCTGTTATGTCAGAATCAATTAGAAGGCACCTAAAACAACAGCTTGATTTATATCTTTTAAACATCTGGAACCAGAGTTTCTCAACCTTGGCATCATTGGCATTTTGGGCTGGATGATTCTCTGTGCTGAGAGTTGTCCTGGTCATGGTAGGATGCTTAGCAGCATGGCTGCCTTTACCCACAAGATGATCCAAACACTCCCGCCCAACTGGGACAACCCAAAGTGTCTGCAGACATTGCCAAACGTCCCTTGCGTGGGCAACACCGCTCCTGTTGAGGAACACTGATTTTGCTCCAGGCTCTACAGTTGTTGGGGCAGGTGTTTTCTAGCTCCAAGAACTTAGACAAGTTCCTTCATTTCTGCGTCTCAGTTTCCTTATCAAGGAAATCATAAAAAGTCTCCTGTCAAATTTCAGCTCAGCACGTGGTAGCTATTATAGGTTATGCCTTTTCCTTCCACTTTGGCCAGGCACTCTGAGGTGGAGCTTACCTTTTGGAGCGCTCACCTGTTCAGGAAGATGCTGCTGACGTCATCGTGTGTGATGGGCGGCTTCTTGGAGCTAGCGGCCATGCGCAGTGGTCGCAGGAAGTTGTTGACGAGGATGTGCAGCTGCTGCACGTACTCGGCCTCGGCCTCCAGCATGCTGAACACCACCTGGTTCCTCTTGCGCATGCTATCGGCATGGGGCGACCGGATGTAGTCCTGAATGATGGTCTTCCACTTGCGCCGGCACAGCCAGCCCCGAAGGAAGCTCTGCACCTGGGCGTCCAGGGCAGCAGAGAGAGGTTCCCATTAGTCGGGACTCCTCTCTCGTCCTTACAGGCTGAGAGCTCCCCAAGAGTGGGGACCAAGACTCCATCATCCCCGAAGGTCCCTAGATGGTGCAAACATCTGCACTTGACTGGGGCCCTGGTGGCACAATGGTTAAGCGCTCGGTTGCTAAACAAAAGGTTGGCAGTTGAAACTTACCCAGTGGCTCTATTGGAAAAAGGTCTGAAGATCTGTTGCCATAAAGACTGTTGCTCTTAGGTGTTGTCGAGTAGATTTCAACTCCTAGCAACCCCACGTGGTAGGGCAGAAGTGACCTATAGGCTTTCTAGGATGTAATATTTTTCGTTATGAGTAGGAACCGACTCCATGGCATACTACCACCACCATCACCAATCTTTTTGAACGCAAATTGCCAGGTCGTTCTCCTATGAAGTTTCTAGATGGATTTGAGCTTCCTATCTTTGGGTTAGCAGTCAAGTGCTTCATGGTCATGCCACCAGGGTTCTTTCACATAAATATTGCTATTGTTTAGTGTTGCAGAGTTGTTTCGACTCACAGAAACCTGTATAGAGCTTCCGGGGAGCTGCTGGTGAGTTTGAATTGCTCATCTTACAGTTCAAACCCACCTTGCGGTCTAGTGTTTATCCTACAGTGCCATACCATGAAGAATACAGCCGAGAGAGCACTATGGAACAGTCTGTCATGTGGGATCACTGTACTTGAAATCTACTTGACAGCACCTAACAACAACAATAGGAACCAATCTAAAGGCCAGTAGTTTGAACCTACCCAGCAACACTCAATTGCTACCAGCACCTACCCAACTGCTCATATGAAAGTGCAGGCTGAAGCTGAAGTAAACGAAAACAAGTCCACAAGAACCAAAATGTGACTTTGAATAAAGCCCACCTGAATTTAGAGACCATCTCAAGACCAGATTTGATGCTTTAGACACTAAAGGCCACAGACCACAGAAGCTGTGGGATGACATCAAGAACATCATGCAAGAAGAAAGCAAAAGGTCATTAAGAAGACAAGAAAGAAGGAAAAGACCAAAATGGATGTCAGAAGAGACTCTGAAACTTGTTCTCCAGTGTAGGGATGCTAAAACAAATGGAAGATATGAGGAGGTAAAAGAGATGAATAGAAAATTTCAAAAACTCAACTCGAGAAGACAAAGTCAAATATTATAATGAAATGTGCAAAGACCTGGAGTCAGAAAACCAAAAGGGAAGAACAAACTCAGCATTGCTCAAGCTGAGGGAAGTGAAGAAAATCATCAAACCTCGACTTGAAATATTGAAGGGTTCTCTGGGCAAAATACTGAATGATGCAGAAAGCATCAAAAGAAGATGGAACGAATACACAGAGTCATAGTACCAGAAAGAGATGGTTAATGTTCAACCATTTCAAGAGGTTCCTTATGATCAAGAGTCATTGGTATTGAAAGAAGAAGTCCAAGGTACATCAAAGACATTGGCAAAGAACAAGATTCTACGACTTGATGGAATACAAATTGAGATCTTTCAGCAGACTGATGCATCACTGGAGGCACTCATCTATGCCAGGAAATTTGGAAGACAACTACCTAGCCAACCTACTGGAAAAGAACCATATTTGTGCCCATTCCAAAAAGAGGTGATCCAACGGGATGCAAATATCATTGGACAATATCATTAATATCTCACAAAAACAAAAATTTCCTAAACATATTTCAAAAATGGCTGCAACCATACACTGAAAGGAAACTTCCAGAGATTCAAGCCAGATTCAGAAGAGGACATGGAACGAGGGATATCATTGCTGATGTTATATGAACTTGGCTGAAAACAGAGACTACCAGAAAGAAGTCTTTACCTGTGCTTTATTGACTATGCAAAAGCTTTCGATTATGAGGATCATGACAAGCTATGGACAGCATTGTGAAGAATGAATGTTCTGGAACACTTAATTGTGCTCATGAGGAACCTATACATAGAACAACAGGCAGTTGTTCGAACAGAATAAGGAGACACTGAAAGGTAGGAAAGATGTCCACCTGGGTTGTATTCTTTCACCATACTTATTCAATCTGTTGAGCACATAATCCGAGAAGCTGGATTACATGAAGAAAAATAGGGCATCAGGACTGCAGGAAGACTCATTAACAACCTGTGATATGCAGATAATACAACCTTGCTTGCTGAAAGCAAAGAGAACTTAAAATACTTACTGATGAAGATCAAAGATCACAGCCTTTGGTATGGGTTGCATCTCAATGTAAATAAAACAAAAATCCTCACCATTGGACCAATAAATGGCATCACGGCCAATGGAGAAAATATTGAAGTTGTCGAAGACTTCATTTTACTTGGATCAATCATCAACACTCATGGAAGCAGCAGTCAAGAAATCAACAAATGTATTGCCATTAGCCAAATCTGCTGCACGGGATCTCTTTAAAGTGTTGAAGAGCAAGGATGTCAGTTTGAGGACTAAGGAGTGCTTGCTGCAAGCCATGGTATTTTCAATAGCCTCATATGCATGCGAAAGTTGGACAGTGAACAAGGAAGACTGTAGAAGAATTGATACATTTGAGCTATGATGTTGAAGGAGAATATTAAACGTACTATGGACTGCCAAAAGAGTGAGTCAATCTGTGTTGGCAGAAGTACAGCCAGAATGCTCCCTGGAAGCCAGGATGGCCTGATTTCATCTCTCATACTTCAGACATATTGTTAGGAGGGACCAGTCCCTCTAAAAAGGGTCAGAGAAAAAAGAAGCAGGCCTCCAACGAGATGGACTGGCACAGTGGCAGCAGTGATAGGCTCAAATGTAGCAACAGTTGTGAGGTTGGTGAAGAACCAGGCAGCATTTCATTCTGTTTGTTGTGTCTAGGGTTGCTATGAGTTGGCACCAACTCAATGGCACCTAACAACAGTAGCACTGCAGAAGAAAGTCCAGGTGATCCGCTTCTGAAAGATTATAGCCATGAAAACCCTATGGAGCAGTTCCATTCTGTAACACATAGGGTTGCCATGAGTGGAACTGACTTGTTGTCAATGTTTTTTTGTGTCTGGCATGCTGAATATGCAAGGGAGAGAGCTCAGACATGAACCAGACCTGGGTCTGCTATCCATCTGATGCTGGGCAAGTTGTTTGGTCCCTCCAATCCAATTTTTCCTTCTGTAAAATGGGACTAATGAGATGATGGCAGGACTCAAGCTGTGGTCCATGGACTGGCAGCATCAGCAGCTCCCTCAAGAGCTTGTTAGAAATGTAGATTCTCAGACCTACTGGTTCAGACTCTGTGTTTTAACCAGACTTCTAGCTTGCATTAGTAGCTTTTGCTGAATGGGTCAGGATGACTCCAGGTCTCTCTCTGTGTGAGGCAGTGCTGGACATGGCTTACACCCAATCTCTTCTAGCATTCAGAGAGCCCAGAAGTCTCAATTAGAGCTTGTCTGGAGAGAGGGCGATTATCAAATTGAGCACAACATGGCAAATTAGTCAGTCTTATGCTTGGGTCTCATCAGCAGTGCTGAGTGCTGGCATCTGCCCGGAGCCTCTTCTGCCTCAGTGGGGATATGACATCCCGCTTAACTCCTTGTCTTGGAGTTGGGCTGATTGGAATGGCTTCGCTTGGGCAATAACTTGGGAAAAGATCTCAGTTGGAAGCACATGCTTCCAACCAAGGGGCCACCTGACTCTTAGCTACTCCCACCCCTGAGCTGTGTGCAGGCTCAGGGTCCACACAGGGAGGGTCATGCGGTGGGGAAACAGTGGACAGGGTGGTTGACTGGAGTTGGGGTGGGGGGTTTGGGAGTCCCACTCTAGGGGCAGAGTGATAATAAAAATGTAATCAACTGTAAACAGCAGATATACAGCCGACAGCTGGCCTGGGGGGCCTGGCGGGGACCTGATGGGGCCCCAGCAACTATCTGCAGAAGTAGAAAGAACTTTCTCAGAGAGGGCAGGGCTTGCTCTGAGACTTCCTAAACCAGTTGTGGTTTGGTGGACTCTGAGTGATGGTGACCCCACGTTGTCCACAGAGGTTTCAATGGCTGGATTTTCAGAAGTACATCACCAGGACTTTCTTCTGAAGTGCCTCTGGATGGACTCAAACCTCCAACTTTTCAGCCAGCAGCTGAGTGTGTTAACCATTCACATCACTCAGGGATTCTCAGAGGGTGAAGTCAGAGTGACAACAGGTGATTTTCAACGGGTCTTTTGAAAACATGCTTCAACCAGAATGGTTGTTAGAAGTGGCTGGGAGTGGAGGAGGGTGGGGCCAGAGCAGAGAAATGAACCAGGTACCCCTCCTGCATGGGCTTAGTTTAGTCCTGGCTGGGCCAGCAGGTCCTGTAGGTGTATGAAGTTGGCAGAGTGGGGAGGTGACACGGGGGCAGTAACTCTTGGACTGTGGTCATCTGCGGGAGGTGGACTGAGGCTGCTGGGCCTTCTGCTTTTCCAGTGACTGAGGGTTCTGGAGTTGGGTGACCAAGCTGTGAAAGGGACTCTGCAAACACTTAGCTGTGTGACTTTGGACAATTCATTGTCTCTCCGACCCTCAGCTTCCCGTATGTAAATAGAAACAATAATCAAACCTCAGAGGGTTTTCAATGAAGATGGAATTAATCTCCATAAACTCTTAGAATTGTATCTGGCACATAGAAAGGGATTCATGAATGTTAACTATTTCTAGTCTCCAGAGGAGTTAGGAACCCAGATTTTTTTAGATGTTTGGCTTTTAAAACACTGGCAACAAATTAAAAAAAAAAACCCAAAAACCAAACCAAACAAAAAAATGAACTGAAAGGAAAACCAAAAACTTATGTGGGCTTTGAAACCGCAAACACATTGGTAGTTTGATGCTGGCCCCTGGAATGCCAGCTTTCAGTTTCTGGTCTGGGTGGTATGGTGGGTGGTGGTGGTAGCTTTGTGCTCCCCATGAATAGGGTCCTCTGGTTTCACTTGTTTTTCTTAGGGCAAGTTAAGGCCCCCTGGCCCTGAATGGTGAACCATGCTTTCTTCCATCAGCCCCTGATGGATGGTCTACGGGGCTGGTCACAGGGTGGATCCCATGATGCCTTTAAGATGTCTGTACCTTCTGCACTCTGTATCAGAGCTGACTATAGGGTCCTCTGCTGAGGTCTTCTGGCAACCAAAGGGTGTATGCATGACTGTGGGGAGAGAGGTAGGCACTAGCAAGTGAAAGTGAAGTAAGGTGGTCCTGGGGTCTTGGTGGGGCTGCATATGGCACTGTGAGGACAGCTCTCAGCTGAGAGTCTCAAGGCTTTGGTTCTTGTCCTGGCACTATTGGATCCTCCATTTTCTTGTCTATAAAAGGGATAAATAACCTCAAGGTACCATTTAGGGTAAAGGGTTGTTGGCTTTGCATCTGGATCTAGGGGTTGGGTGGGTGGATGGCATGCCCTGAGGTCCTGGGGTAGTAAGTTCTGGGAGATCCTCGGGGGTTGTTCTCTCAGTCCAGGGGATATAATACAGACCTTCTTAATTTTCTTGATGTCACTGTCTTCATCGCTGGGGGCGACAGTCTGGGTGGACTGGATGCGCTCATTGTCCTTGAGCAGGGATGCGATCTGCAAGAGAAACACAGGTCAGCTGCTGAATGGGGCACCAGCAGGCAGGGGCTCACCCGCCCTTACCCAGCAGACACTCTGTTCTCCACAAAGGGACCCTAGTCCCTCAGTGTGTCTTTTGCTCTGTGCATCTAGGTTGTTTGAACAGTCACATTCCATACATCTGTGGAATACAGGCCACTCCACTGGGCACAGGTCCACCCAGTTTCTGGGCCTGGCTGGGCCGCCCACTAGTTGAGTGACCATGAACAAGGCTTGTCCCCTCCTCAGGCACAGCCACCTCATTTGCCGTCTCAGAGATTTGGCCTCAATCTATGATTTTTCTCCCACCATTTTCTCCCTCCCAAACTACTTGCTCCTTAATTAAAAACAATCAGACAAAAACCCTTACCTACAACCCTAACATGTAAATCAGAGAAAGAGGCATGACTCTGGGTGAGCCTCTGCTTGTTTGACTCCCCTTCACAGGACACCCCAAAGCACTTGGCTAAGCCAGACACCTCTTGTAAGCATAACCTGACAACTATTACCCAAGAGCAGTGGCCTGGAGCAAGATACCCAGAATGCTCCTTGGATGTGAAGATGGTGAGATTCCAGCTTGCTTACTTTGGACACTTCAACAGAAAGACCAGTTACTATATCATCATGGTTGGTGAAAATGAAGGAAAATCTCCATAAGATGGTTTGACACAGTAGTCACAAAAATGGTCTCCAACATGCCAACGATCCTGAAGGCGGTGAAGGACAGGGCGACAGTTTGTTCTGTCATGCATGGGGTCATCATGACTCGGGTGGACCCCTGAGCAGGCAAGAACAAGAACAATGGGATAGCTCTTGGTATTAATATTTGAGCTGCTCTAAAAATTGCCACTTGCCTGGCTTGGGAATTAGAGAAGTTGGCATAGCTACAAGAACAAAACAGGTCCCTAGGAGAAGGGGTACCTGAAGTTGCCTTTTGGCTGGGGGCACTGGGACCCCTCAGATGGACGGGGCTGGGACCCTTCCAACCAACCCTGATTCCAATTCCTTAAATCTTAAAGTTGTTGGGTGTTCGTCACAAAGGCTCCGCCACCCAACGATGCCTCCTGAGAGTGTTGGCATTATCAGGTACTATTCCGTCTCTGCCAGCAACTCTGCAGCTGTTTGATCCATTGATGTGCTCCTGTGCCTAGCTTCATGCAATAGCAGCAATGAAAACCGCCATCACAGGAAAACACCACAGTCTCAGAGCTCCACACATCTAAATACAGTAACTCAGGGGATCCTACAAACCCCACTACCAAGCTGGGTGCTGCTGCTGCCTCTGCAAAACACGTGGCTTTGTCCCCTCAAGGCCACTTGCTGAACCGCAGAATGAATGGGCTCTCACAACTGAGCGCATCGAGCACTTTGAAAGCAAAATGGAACAGTTACCGGCTCTCCACTCCCTAGTTGCTAAAATTACCCCTGCTCTGCTTGAAGAGTAGCTGAAAATATCTAACTGAGAAATATTCAGCGCTGGAGAAGGGCTTTTCTTTTTCTTTTTTTCCTCTCCTGTGTTTTGTGATACTCTGTGAGAACGTTTGCACATTGAAGTAAAGGTTGATTCTTTGATCTGCACTCTGAAGGGCCAAGGGACACACACACACACACACACATGCACACACATACTTGGAGTCTCCAAGATGCAGAGATGCCTGGTCGCCACCTCCACCTCTGGTCTGGTGCCTGATCACCACCTCCAAGCCAGCCTGCCTTCTTCCCCAGTGTTGTGATCTGCACACCCTTTTCTCTTTAGGATGGTGATGTGTCTTGGGGGAGCAGGGAGTCTGTATTTAAAACCGACAGCTCCCTTCTCCAAGAGAGACTTTCCAGAACCTCCACTCAGCAGAGACCAGGACAAAAAATAGATGCAATTAGGTCAGGCACTGCTATCACAAGGTGATATCAACAGTCTTGGAGTATTTATTTAAGGACTGGTCTGGGTAGGCAAAGTTCTGGAGAGTTTTGAGGCTGGGAATCTCCAGAAGTCTTCAGCAGGGTACCTTGCCCTGAGTGTGATGGTCATTTCTGTTAGATGCCAGTGGCATCTATCAACACTGGGCCCCAGTGGATTCATGTAGGCTGCCTATCTTTCACCTAGGCAGAGGTTTTATGAGAATGGATTTGCTTTGGACCCTGGTTTGCTTGGTGGATATCCAGGCCTGACTCAGTTGACTTTGTCATTGATGGCCACAAGGAGTTGACCTGTACTTTACTACCATGGTGATTCTATGCTGAGCTCACTGTGTGGCACCTGGATTGACCCCTGCAACCTGGCACCCCCAGACTGCCTGTCTGAGGCAAGTACTGGCTTGCCATTCCCCTTTTGGGCATTGTACATTGGCTCCTGCCCCATTCTCTCTGGAGAAACTTCTTTTAATCTGGAATGTGTTTACTTGGTACAATAATTGATGGTGGAATTAATCCAGGTTTTTTTCCACTTTGTTAGCAGCCAAGAGTTTGCTAAAGATCTCTGCATTTCTTGCTTTTTAAACAGCTGCCACACAAATCAGCCCACTCTCTTTCCATCTTGCTTCCTTCTAGTCTCTTCTAAGCCCAAGAGGCAGCCATCTCTGTCTTGCTTTGTGCCATTGGTGTGTGCTGGGCACTGGTGAGACAGAGCTGGAGATGGATAAGTGAGATCCTAGTGCTTGAGGATTTTCCAGCCATGCTCCCCTAAGACGGATGTGAGGAATTCTCCAGCTGGTCCATCTTTAGGAATAAAGGGCCCATGAGGTTGCTAGACCAGGCATAGGTTATTGATTCACATTCAGGGATAAGGAAGCAGGATGAACTGGGAGAATGGGAGAAAGAAATCTGTTCTAGGACTAGGAATTTTAAATAAGAATACACCCATCAAAGAAACAGGGGAAGCTCATAGGGAAGGGGAGAAACTAACTTTAAATGAGAGAGCTCCCAGTAAGGACTAGTAGGTAACTTCTGGGGAAGATTGTAAACTCCATAGTACCCAATAAAAGACAGAGAATAAAACTGTTTGTGGGCCAGTCATGCGGTGTGTCTGTCTGTGTCTATCGGGTTGGGTGCCCAATTTTGCAAAATTGAATAAAGAAAAGCTCATTCTCGCTAAAATGAGTACAGATTGGATTATTTGAGCATTTGTAGGTTTTGACATTTCTCACAGGAGGTCAGACATCCACAGAGGTAATCTGACAAGAAAAGAATACACCCATTGCCATGGAAGGGTATGACCATGAAATCTCTTCAAGGGTTTCCCAGAAGAGGTTTTGAAGGATAAATAGGAGTTCAAATTAGGGGCTATGCAAAGGAAGGGATTCAAGGGGATGATATGAATAAAGACACAGGATTGTGATAGGGTATTGTATTCCAGGGGGTCAGGTGCTTGGGATGGGGGGAAGAGTGACAGTTTGGGGCCATGGCATGGATCATGTGCCCTGATGAGAGGAAGTTCTGGGTGGGACGTGTCAAGGCTTCCGTCTCCTACTTTCTATTTTAAACCCTGAATTGCAGTTTCTTCCAGAGTCAACCTTCCAGGAATCTCAGTTCCTCCAACTGTCTCTAAACTCCTATACTGCCCTTTAGGGCTTGCCTTCGTTCTCCAAATTGACTTCTACTCATAAATGGCATTAAAATGACATGGTGCCAAATGGAACATTCTCTGAGGATTCTTCTCACAGGTAGCTGTTTCCTTTGTTTCCGATGGTTCCTTGATGGAGTTTTTGGTTATGAAAGGTGAGGGATGATAGGGTTATTTCGATGGGAGATAAGAGACTAAGACAGAGGTAGATTTCTTTACAGAATAAAGTTACAGTGTTTAGGTGTAATCTCCTGCTACCTATCTAGGGGTGGAAGCCCAGGGAGGGAGGACACGGGGAGGACTTTATGGCTTTATGGGCATGTGACCTGTGCAGGCTCTCAGAGACCCACACTTGGCTTAATGCTCTGCTATTGCTATGTTGAAGGTCTAAGTCCCCTGAATTTTCATTTTGTACTTGTTAGGTGACATGAAGTTGATTCCAACTCGTAGCAACTATCTGCACAACAGAACAAAACAACACCGAGTCCCGCACCATCCTCTCAATCATTGCTATGTTTGAACCCATTGTTACGTTCACTGTGCCAATTCATCTCATTGAGGGTCTTCCTCTTTTCTGCTGACCTTAACACTTTACAAAGCATGATGTTCTTCTCAAAGGACTGCTTCTTCTTGATAACGTGTCCAAAATACGTGAGATGAAATCTCACCATCTCCCTTCTAAGGCACATTTGGCTTTACTGCTTCCAAACAGATTTGTCCATTCTTCCGGCAGTCAACGCCAATATCGTAATTCAGAAGTATCAATTCCTTTTGCGCTGGGCCCCACAAACTATGTAACTGCTCCTGAAAAGAGATGCAGATGGAATGGTGTGCTGGTAAATGTTTAAAGACCAGCTCTCTGAGATGAAAACGCTGACTTGGAGCATTTGCCAATATCCATGGTGTAAACACTCTTACTTTGGCCCGTTTGAGTGCTAACCAGCTTGCAAGTTCTTGTAAAGTTAAGAATTGGCTCTTGCCAGCTAGTGTGGGCTGAACCCAGCACTTTCCTGGATGTGAGATGAGGGTCTTCTTGGTAGAGAGAGATTTTGGATAAAAACAGTAAAGACATGTGACAGTGTGAGGAAGAGAAACTCAGTGAGAAATTCTTGCAGTATGAGACAACAGTGGTGGTTTAAAGGCAGAATTTTTTTTGGGAGGGATGAGGTGAAGTTGGGCTAGGGCTAGGAGTCAGGCTTGGCCTAGTTCTTAGGGTTAAAGTTAAGTTTATTTTTATATATTTATTGAAATCAACTGGATTTCCTCTTTACTTGGAAGTTCTGTAATTACAGTATTTGCTCTTTTTTTACATTATGCCTTTTGTTGCTCTTGCTGTGATTGCAAGTATTGTTGCTGTTGTTAGTTGTCATCCTTACTGACGCATACTGACTTCATACACAACAGAACAAAACACTGCCTGGTCCCACGTAAATCTCACAGTCCATGCTACGCTTGAGCCCAGCACTGCTGCCACTGTGCCAAGCCATCTTGTTGGGAGTCTTCCTCTTTTTCGCTGATCCTTCACGTTATCAAGTACGATGTCCTTCTCCAGGAACTGGTCCCTCCTGATAATATGTCTGAAATATGAGAGGCGAAGTCTCACCATCCTGGCTTCCAGGGAACATTCTGGATATACTTCTTCCAAAAGATTTGTTTGTTATTCTGGTAGTCCATGGTACTTGGAATGTTCTTCTCAAACACCATAACTCAAATGCATCTGCTCTTCTATGGTCTTCCTTATTCATTGTCCAACTTTCACATGCAAATGAAGCTATTGAAAACACCATGGTATGGGTCAGGTGCACCTTAGTCTTCAAGCCGACATCTTTGCTTTTGAACAATTTAAAGAAGTCTTGTGCAGCATATTTGTCTAATATAATACATCATCTGATTTCTTGACTGCTACTCCCAAGAGTGTTGATTGTGGATCCAAAAAAATGAAGTCTTTGGGCAACTTCAATCTTTTCTCCATTTGTATTGATGTTATTTATTGGTCCAGTGGTGAGGATTTTTGTTTCCTTTACATTGAGGTGTTTTTTGATTTTCATTAGTAAGTAGTTTAAGTCCTTTTCACTCTCAGCAAACAAAGTTGTATCATCTGTATATCTCAAGTTGTTAATGAGTGCCAATGCCACATTTTTCTTCATATAATCCAGTTTCTTGGATTATTTGCTCAGCATACAGACTGACTAAGAATGGTGAAAGAATACAGTCCTGGCACGCACTTTTCTTGATTTTTAACCATTCAGCGTCCTATGTACAGCTTTCTCATAAGCACAATGGAGTGTTCTGGAATACTCATTCTCTGCAATGCTGTCCATAGCTTGTCATCATCCATACAATTGAAAGCTTTTGAGTTATCAATAAAGCACAAGTAAACATCTTTCTGGTATTCTCTGCTTTCAGGCAACATCCATCTGATATCAGGAATGATATTCCTGACACGCATCCCCATCTGAACCTCTGGCAGCTCCTTATCAATGTACTACTGCAGTTATTTTAGAATTATCTTTAGCAAAAGTTTACTTGCATGTGATATTAATGACACTGTTAACTGATTTCCGCATTCCGTTGGATCACCTCTCTTTGGAATGGGCACAAATATGGATCTCTTCCAATCAGTTGCCTAAGTAGTTGTCTTCCAAATTTCCTGGCATAGATGAAAGTGAGTACCTCCAATGCTGCCTCACTTTCTTGAAAGATTTCAATTTGTAGTCCATCAATTCCTGGTGTCTTGTTCTTTGCCAATGCCTTCAATGTACTTTGGACCTCTTCCTTCAGGATCATTGGCTCTTGATAATATGCTACCTCTTCAAATGGTTGAACATTGACCATTTCTGTGGTTCAGTGACTCTGTATTCCTTCCATTTTCTTTTGATGCTTTCTGCATCATTCAATATTTGCCCATGTTGTTGTTAAGTGCTGGTCAGTTGGTTCCGACCCACAGTGGCCATGAATAGAGTTTCCAAGAAGCGACCGGTGAGCTTGAAATGCAGACCTTGTCGTTCAAACTGACTTTTCAGTCCAGCGCATTAGCCCACAGCCACACTCAGAAGTCCTATATTTGCCCACAGAATCCTTCAATATTTCAAGCTTAGATTTGAATTTTTTCTTCGGGTCTTTCAGCTTGAGAAATACTGAGCATGTTCTTTCTTTTTGGTTTTCTAACTTCAAGTCTTTGTACATTGCATCATAATATTTGACTTTATCTTCTTGAATCGTCCTTTGAAATTTTCTATTCAACACTTTTAACTTCTGCTTTCTTCCATCTGCTGTAGCATCTCTACGCTCGAGAGCAAGTTTCAGAGTCTCTTCTGACATCCATCTTGGCCTTTTCCTTTCTTGTCTTCTTAATGACCTTTTGCTTTCTTTTTGTATGATGTTCTTAATGTTATCCCACAACTCTTTTGGTCTTCGGTCATTAGTGTCTAATTTATCAAATCTGTTCTTGAGATGATCTTTAAATTCAGGTGGGATTTGCTTAAGGTCATATTTGGACTCTCATGGACTTGTTTTAATTTTCTGCAGCTTCAGCCTGAACTTGCATATGAACAATTGATGGTCTGTTTCACAGTCTGCCCCTGGCCTTGTTTTGGTTGATAATATGGAGCTTTTTCACCGTCTGTTTCCACAGATGTAACCCATTTGATTTCTGTGTATTCCATCTGGTGAAGTCCACGTGTACACTCGTCTTTCATGTTGTTTAAAAAAAGGTATTTGCAATGAAGAAGTTAGTGGCCTTGCAAAATTCTATCATGCGATTGGCAGCATCATTTCTGTCACCAAGGCTATGTTTTCTAACTACTGATCCTTCATCTTTGTTTCCAACTTTTGCATTCCAGTTGCCGGTGATTATCAACATATTTTGATGACCTTCGATCAATTTCAGACTGAAGCGGTTGGTTGGAGTCTTCAATTTCATCATCACTAGCTTTGGTGGTGGGTGCATACATTAAAAAAAGTTTTATTAACTGGTTTTCCTTGTAGGTGTATAGATATTATCTCACCACATATAGCATTTACTTCAAGATATATCTTGAAATTTCTTTTTGGTGATGAATACAATGCCATTCCTCTTCAATTTGACATTTCCTGGCATAGCTAACTATGTGATTGTTATTCAAAATGGCCAATACCAGATTATGAGTACCTAGGATATCAATGCTTATGCATTCCATTTTTGACAACTTCCAATTTTCCTAGATTCATACTTCATACATTCCATGTTCTGATTATTAATGGGTATTTACAGGTGTTTCTTCTCATTTTGTGTTGTGCCCCATTAGCAAATGAAGGTCCTGAAAGCCTTACTTCATATTTCATCAAGGCCGACTCTACTTTGAGGAGCCAACTCTTGCCCTGTTGTATTTTGAGTACCTTCCAACCTGAGGGGCTCATTTTCCCGCACTAGATCTAACAATACTTGGATACTTTTCATGATGTTTCAATATATCAATATTCTGGTGCTGACGGCATTCCACAGCTAGTCATAATGTTTTCAGTGACTAAATATTCAGAACTATCCGTCTTTCCTTCTTTGCAGTCTGTCTTGGTCTGTAAGCTCAGATGAAACTTGTCCACTGTGGATGACCCTGCTGATATTTAAAATATCAGTGGCATAGCTTCCAGAATCTTAGCAACACCAAGTCACCACAGTACAACAAACTAACAGATGATTGGTGGTGTTACAACTGTACAAAGGTAGAATTCTTGTGTCCCACCTGGGATACCTGGGTGTGATTCCTGGCTAATGTAGATGGAGGCTTGTTTATTGCTGTGACACTGAGCAGATTTCAGCACTGCTTCCAGACTAGGAAGTAAGACCTGGTAATCTACTTCTGAAAATCAACCAGTGAAAACCCCATGAGTCACAACCATCTGATCCATGGGGTGTGGGGTTGCCATGAGTCAGGGCAACTTGATGGCAACCGATAGCAAAAGAGAAGTCAGAAAGACTCGTGGGCAGGGTTGTCTTCTAAACATTTTTAAGCTGTTTTACATTCTGTGGTGGAATACGCCTCCATTGTGTACAAACCATTAAGAAAGTCTGTTACGTACAACAGCTTGAGTCTCAGGGGCTTGGAGAATGAAGGAGGAGCCGCTGTTTGGAAGTCACTGTGATAGAACCCTACAAGTCAAACTTCCAGATCTCTTGTGCCCACCACACAACCTCGCTCATTTGTGCACTGGGTGCTCACTGAGCCTATCTGTGTTAGGCATAAGGGGGAGAGTGACCAAGGGCACCTAGCCTGCCTTCCAGGAATTCCCACCAGGCTGGATGGGTGGCAGCCACACAAGTAGATGACTCTGAAGTGGTACACCCACAGTAGGAATGCCTAGGGACAGAGGGCAGGGGGGTACCCTCAGAAGGAGGCGTCCCAAGAAGGCGGAGGCATTTGACCTCTGGGACCCTTTGCTGGGGCAGCAATGGGTTGAGGTAGCAGGAGGAAACCTGTACTCTCCGGTCAGCCTCTGCCTTCCTCAGGCACAGAGGGTTAGGTTGGGTGGTGTCTCAGAGGGTTAGGTTGGGTGGTGTCTCAGAGGGCTAGGTTGGGTGGTGTCTCAGAGGGTTAGGTTGGGTGGTGTCTCAAGGCAGGCACAGTGGCAGCCATCCCTGGCCCAGGCTGGCAGCTCCATGGTGCTCCAGGTGGGTGACTTGGTGGGGGGACTTCCTTCCACACCCACTCCAGGCACCCTGTCTGACCCAGCATAGAGTTTGCAATCCCCTGGGAGTTGACTGTCCCCCATGGATTGAGGTAGTGGATTTCCCCGACTCCAGCAAAGCTGCAGCTAGGATCTGGTCCTTCTGCCCAGCATGACACACAGGCCCTGTGTCCCCAGATGCAGGAGCCCGGGTTGGAGGTGTTGAGCCTCCCTCCTCCTGCCCCTCAGACAGTCACCTCTGCCTTCAGCCGCTCGATCTCAATCTCCCCATCTTCGATCTGCTGCCGGAGCTGCTTGGCCACAGTTTTCTCCGTCTCCACGATCTGCAGCAGGTGGAGGTACTTCTGCATCAGCGCTTCATGCTCTGTGGCCAGGGTCCTATAGCTGTGGACAGACAGACCGATGGACATGGCAAGTAAGAGACTGCCTCTTGGTCCCCTAGAGATTCAACCAGATGAGAGGTTCACCCATCTACCTGCTCCCTGCACTTAGGAGAAGGACCCAACTCCTAGATGTATTGTCAGGGACGGATCTGGCTTTGGTGGCTGCGGCTGGGCACTGCAGCCCCCTCTCTAGCCCCTCCATCACACGCTGACCTCTGGTTCCTCCAGTTCTCATCCTCCGTCTCTCTGTCCCTCACAGTCCTCTGGGCCTTGGCACAGGTAGGTTTTTGCCCTGAATCATGACTCTGTTTGGAAGTATAGAGGGGGACTTAGAAGATTACCAAGACCACAGAGGTTCAATGATTTCTCCAGTGTCACCTGGACCCCTGCATTCCTGCCTGGGCCTCTCCAGACACTTCACAACACAGCAGAGCCATCCAAAGGCATCAGAGCTAGGGAGAAACCCAATGCCAGCAAAAGGAGGTTGAGCCTGAGGGGACACAGAGGCTCTGAGAAGGGACCCCAGCAGGAGGTGCCCAGCTGGGTGAGGACAAGGACAGTGTAGGCACTGATTTAGGGGTAACGTTTAACTCAGCCCACCCTTCTTACTTGTCTCATCCTTATTTTAGTTTTGGTTCCAATTCAGGGCCACTCCAGAGGTCTCCCCTTCCCCCTCTCCCTGTTTGTGTCCTCAGTTCTCCACCACAGTCCAACCCCTGTCTTCTCTCCCTCCTACCAGTGAAGCCCATCTCTGGGGAAGTCCTGCATTTCCCTTCTTAGCCCCCACCAGTGGGCAGTTCCGTGTTCTCACACCCCACCTCAGCTTAAGACATTCCTGGAGTGTTCAGCACCTAAGCTGCTGCCTATCTTCTACTCCTTACCTGGTTCCCCCATGTTTCATTGCAGGTGATCCCATTCCTGTCTCAGAGTCTGTATCTCAGGGACATTCTGTCTCTTCCTGGCCAGCCCCATGGCATATCACACTCACTCTAACCTGTGTGCATTGTCCTGGCTGAGCCCCAGCTCCTTATACCCATAGCTGGGTGAACTTGGACAGGTCACTTGGCCTTTCTGCCTTGCTTTTTCATCCATAAAGTGGGGATAATAACTGTACCTAGCTCACAGAGTGTCTGTGATGATTAAATAATACGCAGGAAGCATGTTGTCCCATCCTTGTATGGGCTGGTTAACTGTTAGTTACAGTAATTCATTTCCTCCCCTCTCAGTGGGGTCATGTCCAAGTTTAGGATCCCAGACCTGGATTCTCCTCAGGACCTCTGTTCCTCAGATACTGGCTCTCTTCTCTGTAATAACATCCACTCCTCCTAATTTTCCCTTCCCTAACTCTCCCTCCCCTAACTCTTCCTCCCCCTAGCTCTCCCTCCCTTAACTCTCCTTCTCCCTAACTCTCCCTCCCTTAACTCTCTCTTCCCCTAACTTTCCCTCCCCCTAGTTCTCCCTTCCTTAGCTCTCCTTCTCCCTAACTCTCCCTCCCTTAACTCTCTCTTCCCCTAACTTTCCCTCCCCCTAGTTCTCCCTCCCTTAGCTCTCCTTCTCCCTAACTCTCCCTCCCTTAACTCTCTCTTCCCCTAAATCTCCCTACCCCTAATTCTCTCTCCTTCTAACTCTCCCTCCCCTCAACTCTCCTTTCCCCTAACTCTCCCTCCCCTTAGCTCTCCCTCCCCTAACTCTCTCTCTCCCTAACTCTCCTTCCCCCTAACTCTCCCTCCCCATAACTCTCCTTCCACCTAATTCTCCTTCTCCCAACTCTCCCTCTCCCTAACTCTCCCTCTCCTAACTCTCCTTCGCCCTAACTCTCCCTCCAGCTCCCTCCCCTTTTCTCTCCCCTTCAAGCTGAATTTGCTGAATGAAGGATCTCCCCTCATTGTCTTATTATCTCAGTTTCCTTTTCATATTCACTCTTGACAATCTGGTGTTTACCTACAGTTAGGAACTGGGTCCCTCTCTGTCTGCCACTTGCCAGCCAACTCTACTGTCTTGTCCTCCCCACCCCCACTTTAAAGCTAAATAACAGGCTATAAGAGAGAAGTCTGTGGTTTTAATGCTACTTAATTAAAAGAGGGTTTTGTGCTTCTCTTACTAAAGGGAGAATATCAGGTTTTAAAGTTTTATTGATTAAAAAAAAAATTCCCAAGAGACTTAACTGTCCTCAGTTGGAAAGGAAATTCAGCTGAGGTCTGAAGGAGTCTGTTTTCATACCATTATACCTCTCCCCATCCCAGGGGTGTGAACACTTGGCTTCTTCATTAATTTCTTCTTGTAAATGGCATCACCCTAATGATACTGCTGAATCCTTCAATTCAAAATCAAGAGCCATTGCATCTTAGCTTGTCTGGCCTCCCTTTCTGCCCTTTACCCTCCCGCTCCTTTCTTTTCTCCTTCCCTCCCTTGGTGCTTCTTCCCAGGCTGTCTCCCATCCCTTCCTTTCATCCAATAATGATGTACTGAGTACCTCTGTGTGCAGGCATTGCATTTAGAGTCTTCCAGAGCTAGCAGGGAGCTCAAATCACAAAAGACCAACCATCTCATTTTATAAAGGAAGAAACTAAGGACAACAGAGGAGACTGTCCTTGCCCAAAACAACAGTCAATTAGCATAAAAACTGGAGATGGAATCGGGCTCTATCCCCTCATAATTACTTTCTTCACTCTTCTCCCTCAAACTCTGTGGCCCGCTAGCTTGGCCTTTAGTTATCCTCACTGAAAACCAGACCATAAAACACACCTGGTATTGCATTTTATTCACAGGTGTACATACACTCCAGAGAGTATCCCATAGTACTAGACTGTCAGAGACACAGTGTGAGAGCACATTATTACGCTATGCGATATTTATATACTACAGTGTTTATTTCTGTATATAGAATGTATCTATAGATCTCTGTAAACACAAACTAAATTAGGAGTATATAAAAATATGTAATACTCAATATGTCTGTGGAAGAGAGCCAATCTTTCCCTCCAGACACACACATGTACACACACACATGTGAGAAACATACATACACACATGATATACTAGGTTTGAGATTAAATAAAGTCCTTGGCATCAATAAATACCATTTATAGTTTATCATGAGAAAAGATTGAAGTTGTCAAATACTTCATTTTGCTTGGATCCACAATCAACACTCATGGAAGCAGCAGTCAAGAAATCTAATGACATATGGCCTTAGGCAAATCTGCTGCACAAGACCTCTTTAAAATGTGCAAGAACAAATATATCAGTTTGAGGACTTTGGTGCTCCTGACCCAAGCCACGGTAATTTCAATATCCTCATATGTGCATGAAAGTTGGGCAATGAATAAGAAAAACTGTAGAAGAACTGATGCATTTGAATTATGGTGTTGGGGAAGAATATTGAAAGAACCATGGACTATCAGAAAAACAAACCAATCTGTGTTGGAAGAAGTACAGTCAGAGTATTCCTTAGAAGCCAGGATGGTGAGACTTCGTCTCTCATACTTTGGACATATTATCAGGAGGGACCAGTCCCCGGAGAAGGACATTATGCTTGGTAAAGTGGATGGCCAATGAAAAAGAGGAAGACCCCCAATGAGATGGATTGGCACAGTGACAGCAGCAATGGGTTCAAGTGTAACAGAACTGTGAGGCTGGTGAAGGACTGGACAGTGTTTTATTCTACTGTGCTATGAGTTTGAACTAACTCAACAGCATTTAACAACAACAACATCAATGCAATTATAGAGCAAGTTCCCAAGTAAGAATCTGATGGTTTATAATGGTGACAATACAAGGGAAGTTAACTCGGTTTCCCTTACCACAGACCATCACTCTGCCATCCCCCCAGACTACATGAGGGGCATATCTTTGAGACCAGTGGGTTGACCCACATCCCAGAGATCAGCAAGAGAAGAGAAACAAGTCAGTGTGTCCAGTGGGCACATCTCCTTACTTCCAAAAGAATGTTGAATATGAGAGGTTTTGGTTCAAATGTAGGTTTTGATTCACATGACTGCTTCCCATTTGGGGTATGCAGGCTTCAAATTTCAGTTGAATTTGCATTACGTGGGAGCCCCAGAACCCTAAACTGGGAATCTGGGTCCAAGGCACCCTGATCTTCAATCTGGCACCCACAACTTGTGTGATATTGGGTCTCACTGTCCACGTCTGTCAAATGGGGCTGAAGGGAACCACTCACCGGGTTGTCTGGAGAGCAAACAACATGCTATATGAAAGAGTTCTGCAAACTGTTGAGGTCTGTATGGTTCTCTGTTAACTAGACAACAGCAGTGAGTCTGGGAGTAAGGACTGTCAGAGGTGAAGCATCCTCTGCTGACTCCCAGACAGGATTGGTGGGGTTTATGTAAACTGAAATACTACTATTTTATTGGCTAAGTAGAGTCAGTCTTCAATTTAGTGAATTGCTTTAAAAACTATTATTCTTAAACTCAAAACCATAAAAAAGATCAGGCTTACTGCAGGGATAGAGACTGGTAGAACCTTTGAGACTATGGTCCTTGGTCACTCATATGTCTGGAACTGACTTTGCTCCCGTGGCTCAATTTTCAGCCAAACAATAAACAGGCCTATAAGGGGAACAATAACCGTAGGGAGGTACTTCACACCTTAGAATAATCAACCCTTTTAGATCAAAAGGTTAGCATTTACCCAAGAACAAAGTTCAGAAGAGTTAGGAAAGGAGGAGGCATGGAAACAGGAAACACAGGGAGGAAGTGGAATAAGCGATGTTATGTTGGACTTCAGTTGGTGAGATGAAACAAAATGTGTATAAATGGTTGAATGGAAAACTGAGGATTTGAAATTCAAGTTGGATTCAGTAGAGAACATGGAACAAGGAAAGTCATTGCTGATGTCACATGGGTCATGGCTAAAAGCAGAGAATCTCAGAAAGTATGTTTACTTGTGTTTTATTGACTGTGCAAAGGCATTCAACTGTGTGAATCATAACAAACTATGGATGACATTGCTAAGAGTGAGAATTCCAGAAAGCTGAAT